GGAGTCTGACTCCCTTCGTGCTGCTAGTCCTACTGTCACGCGCTTTCTGGCCACTGCTGTCACTGACCCCCTGTTTGAGTTCTCTGCTGCGTCTGCTCTTGTTGCTGAGCTTGTTGACTTTGCTGCAGCCTGTCGCCTAGACTACGCCGCTAGTCTTGTTGCTGAGTCTGCGTCTGTGTCTGTCTGTCCTCCGTCCGTCGGGGGTGAGTGTGCTCTTGGCACGGACGTCCTTGAGGACAGGCAGGAGGACCTTGAGTGCTTTGCTGCTGCTTCACCTCATCTCGTATCCATGCTGCTTGCCCCTGAGGGAGACCCGGATGCACTAGACATCCCGACCCCGCGCTCTTACGCAGAGGCGATAGAGGGTCCCTACTCCTCCCAGTGGCAGGCAGCCATGGACGCAGAGATGGCTTCCTGGAAGTCCACAGGCACCTACGTAGACGAGGTTCCCCCACCTGGGGCGAACATCGTCAGTGGCATGTGGATCTTCAGGGTGAAGCGGCCGCCGGGTTCTCCGCCTGCCTTCAAGGCGCGTTACGTTGCACGTGGCTTCAGTCAGCGACAGGGAGTTGACTTCTTTCAGACCTTCTCCCCTACCCCAAAGATGACCACTCTTCGGGTACTGCTGCACGTTGCTGCTCAGCGTGACTACGAGCTCCACTCGCTTGACTTCAGCACAGCCTTCCTACAGGGCAGCCTGCACGAGGAGATCTGGCTGCGCCGCCCACCTGGCTTCACTGGGTCGTTTCCTGCTGGTACCCAGTGGAGCCTCCAGCGGCCAGTCTACGGTCTCCGCCAGGCGCCCCGTGAGTGGCACGACACGCTCAGGACGACTCTTGCTGCTCTTGGTTTTGCTCCTTCCACTGCTGACCCTTCTCTGTTTCTACGCACTGACGCTACTCTGCCGCCGTTCTACGTTCTTGTGTACGTAGACGACCTTGTCTTTGCTACTGCTGACACGGAGGCACTCGCCCACGTGAAGTCCGAGCTGCAGAAGAGACACACGTGCACAGACCTGGGTGAGCTCACAAGCTATCTTGGCTTGCGGATCACCCGGGACAGAGCACAGCGCACCATTACCTTGACTCAGTCACACATGGTGCAGCAGGTCCTTCAGCGCTTCGGCTTCACCTACTCCTCGCCACAGTCCAGTCCTCTGCCTACCGGTCACTCGCTCTCAGCTCCACCTTCGGACGAGTCCGTAGAGCCGAGTGGCCCGTATCCAGAGCTTGTGGGCTGCCTCATGTACCTGATGACTTGCACACGACCTGACCTCGCATACCCTCTCAGCCTTCTGGCTCGCTACGTGGCTCCCGGCAGGCACCGAAAGGTGCACTGGGATACTGCGAAGAGGGTGTTGCGATACTTGTGCAGTACATCGGGCATGGGGCTCGTGCTTGGAGGACGGGCTCGAGTTGTCCTCACTGGTCACGCTGACGCCTCCTGGGTTGACGACTTGGCTATGCAGCGGTCGTCACAGGGTTACACCTTCAGCCTTTGCTCCGGTTCTGTCTCCTGGCGGTCTACCCGCTCTTCTTCTGTTCTCAGCTCCAGTTGTGAGGCTGAGATCTACGCTGGGGCCATGGCTGCACAGGAGCTTCGCTGGCTCACCTACCTGCTGACCGACTTGGGAGAGGCGCCTCGTTCTCCTCCAGTTCTGTACGTCGACAACAAGGCCATGCTGGCCTTGTGTCAGGAGCACAGACTGGAGCACAGAACGAAGCACATTGCTCTGTGCTACTTCCTTGCTCGAGAGTTGCAGCAGCGTGGCCAGCTTCGTCTTGCTTACGTGGCCTCTCAGGCCAACACTGCTGATGTCTTCACCAAGGCACTTCAGCCTTGTGATCATCAGCGTTTCTGTACTGTGTTAGGCCTTGTACCTACTGTGCCTCACTTGTTGACTTCTTGACTCTGCTTGTACTGTACTCTATATACTTATACCTGCATGCTTACACTTGCTAGGTTGTGTTTACTGTACTGTTTACTTTCTTTTATATAACTCTGCATGTGAACTGGCCTTATGGCCCTTTTCTTGTGCTCAGACTGTGTGGTGACTTTGTGATCCACCCTGAGCTTGCTTTGCTTTTCTTGACTGGTCTTGTGACCTCTTGTTCTCCCCCACTTTGCCTATGGGGGTGTGTCAAACTTATATCTGCTATGGTCTATTTAGGCTGTAGTGGGGTAGCTCTTAGTGGGTACAACACTTATGTGTTTCCTATATGTACCCATCTCATTTCTAGTTCATCCATTCTTTCGTCTATCATTCTCACAGATACCACCCCCAGAGTGTGCTTGGCAGTAGGTGACGATGGGCTTCGTCACGGGGTTACCGGCCGGAGCAAGTGGGAACGACGCGATCCCGGTCGTCGTCGATCGGCTGACGAAAATGGCACACTTCGCAGCCTGCAAGAAATCAATCACAGCCGAAGAAACAGCCCGCCTCTTCATCTCCACCGTCGTTCGACTACACTGGATACCAGCAGCGATCATCAGCGACCGCGACACAAAATTTACCAGTAACTTCTGGCGGAACCTATGGCAGCAGTTCGGCACACGACTACAATTTAGTTCTTCGTACCACCCCGAAACCGACGGACAGACAGAACGGACAAATCAGACCATGGAGCAACTCATCCGAGCCACGTGCAACGATCCGACCACATGGGAACAACAGCTGCCACTCATCGAATTCGCGTACAACAACTCACCATCCGCCACGACCCAACAGTCACCATTTTACCTTAACTACGGACAAGACCCTACAGTACCCATGACCCCGAATCCCGACAACCCAGTCTCACGAGCGCAACAGTTCGCAGAAATCTTACAAGCAGCACAAACCAGGGCAGCCGAGGCAATTAAAAAAGCCAACGTCATCGCTAAGCGCAACGCCGACCGCCACCGCAGACCTGTCACTTACCAGCCCGACGACCTAGTTTTACTCGACACTCAAAACCTCCGCCTGCCCATAACCCCGAAACTCTGCCCCCGATATTGCGGGCCATTCCTCATCAGCCACATGATCACACCCGTCACCGCCCACCTCCTCCTCCCTGCTGACTGGTACGTCAGCCCGTCCTTCCACGTCAGACTGCTTCGCCCTTACGTACCTTCCACCGGCCAACTGCCTCGCAACCGCCCAGCTAGCATGATATGACCGCCAACAGAACCAACCATCACGCCCGAAATGATTATGAGCCATCGAGTTCATGACCCACGGGGAGCTCGAAGGGTCGAATTTCTGATCCGCTGGAAAGACCGCACGCCCACCGAAGACCATTGGGTTCCCCTGGACAGAATCGAAAACCACCCTGTCCTCACCGAGTATCTGCGCAGCAAGAATTTCCAGGATGTACACCCGCTTTCGTGAGGAGGGCCTCCTTAAGGTGGGGGTTAGTGTAAGGAAAAATCCTTTTCCTTACTTCGCGTCCCTGCTCAGCGCGTACCGTACATCACTGTTTCCCGCCAACAGCACCCCACAATCATCCGTTAACACTCGCGACATTCGCCTCGACACTATTCCCGCCACTGTTCACGACGCGACCGAACCTCACGGTTCGGTTGGTAACCCGCGCTCCGGACCTCCGCCTCGACAATCCCCAACCTCGGCGCCAGGCCCGTCGCGCACCCCATTTTTTCACACGTTACCGTTACCACTGTAGCTTCGCTATATATTCTTCGCTCAATCTTTCGCTCATTGTATTCTTGTCCCGATAGTGCAATCCTCGCTCGCTCATCCATTGCACTCATAACAGATGAATAGAAAAAGAAGTTTCCACGACCATCGAATCGACCCTAGCTGGTTCAGTCGGGATTCGGGAAACACGTCCTGTCGTTACAATCACACCAGGTCACGTATTGCAGAGGGGAAACACGTCCCACGTGCAAATCAGCATGGGCAACAGAAATACTACCGTCATACCCCGGATATACCCCCATGGGGGGGCAATAATAAAACAGGTTTTTTCAGGGGGGTGGGCTTATAATCGAGTAAATTTATAAGCGCCGGCGTTTATAAAATGACATATATATTTTTTCTATTTTTAACACCAAACTGTAGATCTCGTGCTTGCCTTTCCAATCGAGTCGAAGTTACATGGGGTCGTCTGTGAAATTCTCGCGCGCGCTGGGAGATACACCCAATCTGACTCACATCCAGCTCCTGACAGCTCCTGACGGCTCCTGCTGACTGGACCCGCATCCAGTGCAGGGTCCGAATGTGAAGGGAACCGAATCTGCAACACATCCGCCTGCTAAAGTAAAAATCATTACAGCATTTTGAACACATTTCAAAATTTAAAGTTTACGTGCGCTTATAATAAAACAAGTTTTTTCAGGGGGTGCGCTTATAATCGAGCAGCGGATATAAGCGTCATGCGCCAATTAAAAGCGCCAGGCGCTTATCCGAGGGTGGCGCTTATATCCGGGGTATGACGGTATATTTGGAAACGCAATACGGTATATGCAATATGGAACATATTTACCATAAGCAGCAAATGCTGCCATCCATAAGATTTTCATATGTCTTGAAAGTACCACTTCTTGTCTACTTATTGCAACTATCATCCAAGTCCCGCACCACAGACTATGGGGCCGGAACACTGAAAATTAGCATGAAGGCTTACATACATACTATTCGATCCAATCCATTACCCTTGTTCATGTAAATCACATTGGATTACTGTCCATTCGTACCATTATCAGGTAAGTGACTACACCCTATACGTAATTCAAGCATTCCCGTCTTCCAGGTCACACCACCTCATGGGTCGTTCGTTCAGTGCTCTTCCCGTCTTCATCACAAATTTTCCTATTCCACCTTCGAGCTCTAGCCTGCCGCCCATTCATACACCCCCCCCTACGCCCTATGCTGCATCCTCTCATTCCCCATGCACCCCCCAGCCCCTTTGTCTCTCAAATCTGGCCACATTAACATGCTTTCCTGCCGCCCTCCTCCTCCTTACCCCCTGTGCTCGACCCCCATTGCCTGCTCAGGTGCCTCAAGCCCAGATGGCCTGCTCAGACTCCCCCTGCCCCCCCGCCATGAGCCCCACCTGCTCCAGAATCCACCTGTCCAGATCCGCCTCCCGCTGCCCCTCCAGTGCGCCCGCCCCCACACTCGTGGCTGCATCAGCACCCGCAAGAGGAGGTGGGACAGGAGTGGCAGGAGTGGAAGGAGTGGCAGGATGGGCAGGAGGAAGAGGAACAGACGGAGGAGCAGCAGCGGCGTTATTGCAGGGGCGAGGGGAAGAAGCAGGGATTGCAGGGAGCTCCAAGCCAGGCGAAAGGGGCAAGGGAGGGAGGGCAGGCAGAGGCGAGAGGGGAGGGAGGGGAGGCAGGGTATCCAGAAGAACAGTTAGTGGAGAGGGTGGAGACAAGGCGCTGGGGACGTGGTGTTGGCCGGCAGACTGCGGGGTAGTCTGGGCGGCAGGTTGGGCGGCAATGGAATTACTTGTGGTAGGAGCGGGAGGGGATGGGGCGAGAGATGGAGGGGCAGCTGTTGGCATCAGATGAGGCGGCGCGTTACTTGTGGTGGTGGCAGAGGGAGGATCTGACACACGGAACCAGGAGGACAGAGCAGAGGAGGAACTAGTGCATGTCTTCACACTCTGCTCGCTGCACCTTCTGAATTGCATAGAGTCTTCTGGCTTCTGCTGCGGCTGTTGCTGTGTATGAAGCTGCTGCTGCTTCTGCGACTGCTGCGGCTGCAGATGTTGCTGCTGCTGCGGCTGCTGCATGAATGCATGCCATTGTTCCTGCCCATGCTGCGCATGGCACTCAGCTCCTGCAGTCTTGATGTGCTTCCTCTCACTCGCACACTCAAATCCCGCAGCATTATAGCGCACGCATGGGCCAATCAGAGCGTTGTCGAGCCACGGCTCCATGACACCATGCCATGGCGCACCATCCTCCTGCCATCCGTGTGCTGCCATGGGCCACACAGGTGTCTGCTCCAGCATGCGCGGATGGGGCTGCTGCTGCCGTGCTGCTGTCGCATGCAGCGAGTCAATTGCTTTCACGAATGCCCCAACGGATGCCTCCAGACTGACTCCTGCTGGCGTGGTGCCCGCGAGGTTGCATGGTGAGGAGTGAAATGCGGTGTGACGCGGTTGCAGCCCGCGGAGGCGAGCGCTGGGGTGCAGAGGGTGCTGGGGGGGCCGGAGGGAGGGAGTTTCCGGCGGTGGCTGGCGCTGCGGCTGGTGCTGCTCAAATTGCTGCTCGTGCTGGAGAAACTTCCTGCAAGACGGGGGGGGGAGATGGGGCGCACGGCGGGGGAGAGGTGAGTGAGACACAACAAGAGGGTAACTTTCTGAGCAGCAGGAAGCGGCTGTAGCATACCTCTTGAGCAGTAGGAAGCGGCTGTAGCATACCTCTTGAGCAGTAGGAAGCGGCTGTCCCTTGAGCAGTAGGAAGCGGCTGTAGCATACCTCTTGAGCAGTAGGAAGCGACTGTAGCATACCTCTTGAGCAGTAGGAAGCGGCTGTCTCTTGAGCAGTAGGAAGCGACTGTAGCATACCTCTTGAGCAGTAGGAAGCGGCTGTCTCTTGAGCAGTAGGAAGCGACTATAGCATACCTCTTGAGCAGTAGGAAGCGGCTGTAGCATACCTCTTGAGGAGCAGGAAGCGATTGCAGCACGCCTTGTTGTCGCGCAGCGGCAGTCGGCCGCTCGCCCTGAGCTGACCCCACTCCGCCGTGCCGTGCGCCATCACGTGCTCCAATAGCACCGCGTCCTCCTGCGCGCACAGGGTGGGCGGAAGGGATGAGAAGAGAAAGGAGAGGAACTGAGACAAAGGGGATGAGGCCTCGCGTGCGCCATCATCTGCTGCAATTGCACCGCGTCCTCTTGCGCGCACAGGTTATTGGGGGAAGTGGGGGAAGAGAAAGGCGAAGAATTGAGACCAAGGGAAAGAGGAACCAGCACGTCCTCGTGGTGAGGGAGGCGAGGCGAGGTGAGGGCGGAGAGAAAGGAGAAGGCACGACACCTCAATTACTGAGGAGCTCGTGGCGCATTCCCATGGGGATGCGACGGGAGCTCACCTCAGGCGTCCATCGCGCCATGTACTGCCGCGCCCGCCCCGCATTCGCCGCTCTCCTGCACACAACCCGTCGCATCGGCGGGCTTGCGGAGACAGACTCGTGGAATTGCGGCGCCCGACTGTCATCGCTGTCAGTGGTGTAACAGCTCGCCACGATCGCATCCATCGCGAGGTCATGCCGTCCCCCCCCGTGCGACATTGACATCATTTCGCAACTCTTCGCCACACCAAGTGTCGCAGGTGGGTAACTCATGTAGCCAGTCACAGAAGCGGGACAGGGTTAGGAAAATGCTCGTGATCTTACTAGCTCCTATGTTGGGTTTGAGCTGATAGGAAGCAAAGGTGAAGGATGGCTCGTAACCTCTACACTGAGGCGGCAGTGTCTCGTCGCACGCAATTTTCGCGAGCAGGAAGGCTGGCGAAGATGATTCGGGAATCTGAACTCGGCGATTCTGGCCGACGGACGTCCGACAGCGTCGAGATATGAGTTCCAGGAGGGGTCGGGGGGGGGGGGGCTTTGAGCACAGAGGATGCAGGGAATGGGAAGCAATCTACGCGCGACGAGCAGAAAGCGCGCCGAAATGACGTAGATGCAGCGCAGCGAGACTCGCAAATCGGCTCCATCCGCACCGTGCGTACGCTTTTGTCTGAACGCGTCGCTGCTCTCCTCGGACGCATGACGAATCATCGTCGTACACCTAGTCCTCGGTATTTTAACCACGTGAACTGTTTTGTTTCAAACACCCTTTATTCGTTTTCGGGTAATGAGATGGGCACCCAGAGACTTCGAGGTTATTATTTTACAGCAGGATGCCTTTCCGTCTGAATAAACGCACACTTAGTGGTCCGAGATAGGGGGCATATCGGTATTGGAAGAGTTTTAACTGCCGTGATCTCGCGACGGGAATGCTAGATTCTACCCTCATTAATTTTCAAACTACTCGTTTAAACAAGTTTGACCAAGGAGAAGTACCCTCGCGCGGTTAAGATAGCGGCAGTTAAAATACCGCGGACTAGGTGTACACACGATGCTGAACCCTTGTATGCGAATTTGCCCTGCACCGGATGGAAAGTCTGCACCCGTGTTTTTATACCAGCCAACTGCACCCACATTACAAGCCCCTCGAGCAAGGTGCAGTGGTTATGAACCAATACAAACCACAGAAATCGAAGTCAAACAGAAGAGACTGAAGTCAAACTGTCAACGGGGAGTTACAATCTTTTTAAAGCCCTTTTTTGCTAGGTGCGATGTTGACGAAATTTGCGAAATTCCGAGAACCTGTCAAAAGCCTTTTTCACAAGGCAACCTTGGGTTAGTCAAACGAGCATCGTGTGTATTTCTGCCACTAGATACACTGTGCTATCGCGAGGTGGCGCTGCTGCTACATCGCCAGCTAATGCACGTCGTGGCGCGCGCGGAAGATCGGGTGGTCGCCGGTTTACGGAGCTCTCTCATTCGCCGAAAGGCTCCACTTGCGTGCTGGCCTGAGGATGCAGGAACTGGGACGGGCTTGTTCAAGAATCTTAGAAGTTAACTGAAGTAACGAGAGCAGAGAGCGAGAAAGGTGGCAGAGAGTGAGCTAGACTGACTCGTGAGTTGCACGGTGCGTCACGTGAGTCTGCATGTTGGCAGCATTCCGCATCACGGGGCGCATCTTTACAGTTCCGTTGGTTCGTTTCTCCTCGCCAGTTCAGGGGCACTCGTTTGCAGTGCATGCTAACGAAATCCGCGACTTGCTTGCGTTGCGAATGGCGGAGCAGAGATGTGATGTGAGGTGCAGTGGCGCAAATTCCGCATGGCATGCTCACCACGGCTCGTTTCTGTTTCAAGGACTTTCACCACCGCCCTCCCCTTCCCCCCACCGATTCGAGGGGCCAAGATCGGAGAACCACGAAGAATCCCAGTCAGATTTGATGTATCAGGCAGAAGTGCCACGATGAGGTGACGTGGAACTCCCACAACCAAGGAGAATTTTGCCGTTGAAGCGTGGTGATTGATTGGTTCCAAAAAAAGGGTCGAGGTTCCAGAAGGTCTGCAGGCAAAACATCCCATTTCTCAGGAAGCATCCGTTAACGGCAGCCACAAGCTACTTGTGGTGGTGGTGATGTCGGGAAGAACCCGCCTGTAATATTGCCCGGAAATATTTATTAGGGCACACGGAATGCAGATCAATTGCAGCCTTACCAAAAACATGGCCACTACATTACCATGAAATAACAATATTTCCGTTCATAGATCTCGTGTTGTTCGCGAGCAATATCACATGTATCAATGCTGGCCAACATGTCAAATATATGTTTATATGTTATAGTTTAGGTAGGCTTTAGTGGGGTACTCACTATGGGGTACAACCCCTTAGGTTTTCATTTTGTACCAACTATCTCGATAGTCCATCACACCTTTTTCTTTACTTACGACATGGTATTCAGAGCGACATAGGTCCCTAGGACCGTTTTAGGACTTTTTTTTCGGGCCCACCAACCGTTTTTCGCCGGTTACCGAGTTACGCCGCCCCTGGACCCAGAGCAGCCGCCCCTGGCCCCTACAGCAGCCGCCCCTGGAGCAGCCGCCCCTGGACCCAGAGCAGCCACCCCTGGCCCCTGAAGCAGCTGCCCCTGGTGCAGCCGCCCCTGGATCCCGCGACGCTGCCCCTGGTGCAGCCGCCCCTGGATCCCGCGACGCTGCCCCTGGACCCCGTGCAGCCGCCCGCCGAGCGCCGGCCCTGCTCGCCCGGCGAGCGCCTGCTCTTCCCGCCACTAGTGAGCACCTGCCTTGTTAGCGCGCTGCCGCGCCATCTGCCTGCCTGCCTGCCTGCCAGACTGCCTACCTGCCAGCCAGCCTGCCTGCCTGCCTGCCTGCCTGCCTGCCTGTCTGCCTGCCTGCCAGCCTGCCTGCCTGCCAGCCTGCCTGCCTGTCTGCCTGCCTGCCTGCCTGCCTGTCTGCCTGCCTGCCGCGCCTGCTCTGCTAGGCTACTGCTACTGGTACTGGCGGTGGCCAGATGCAGCTCCAGCGACATCCACGCGAGTCTCTCACGCCCCAGCAGTTAAGTGAGTGGTACGCTAGTTGGGGTTGTGGCGGTAGTCGTCGTAGCTGTCGCCCTAGAGCTGGTCAGTTGGGAGCGTCTAGCAGTGGCCAGCTGCAGCTGCAGCGGTGTCCACGCGAGACACTTACGTCCTAGCAGCTTCACGAGTGGTACGCTCAGAGTAGGGGGTCTTTGAGTACCGTTCGCTGCCCGTACGTCATTCGCACAGGTGATCGGACGGGTCAGACTTGCGGGACGCTTAGTCACACCCAGTCCTGCTGCTTCGCCCGTCTGAGTGACGCCTGGCGTACCGAGTTTGGCGACAAGGCTGAGCTCCCCGACTGGGTGGAGATGCTTGGGCAGAGGGTAGATATCTTTGCTCTTGACTATGATGCTATTCTCACTGCCATGTATGCATTGCCTACTAGTGCTGCCAGTACCTGTTACCTGTGCGCCACGCCTGACCCAGGTATAGAGCCTGCTGCCCTCGGTGCTGGTGAGGCTGCTGCTCTAGGTGCTAGTGCGTCTCCTGCTCTGGTTGCTGGTGAGGCTGCTGCTCCAGGTGCTGGTGAGTCTGCTCTCTTTGGTACTGCGCCTGCTGAGGCCTTGTACACCTTCACACTTGACTCAGGTGCTTCCCGCTCCTTCTTTCGCGACAGCATCACCCTCACGCCGCTCAGCCGGCCGGTTCCAGTATCCCTGACAGACCCCTCTGGGGGTCCAGTCCTTGCGCGCTCCTCCACGGTCCTGCCGTGTCCGGCGGTCCCGTCTGGCTCCCTGTCAAGTCTTCACCTCCCCTCGTTCTCTACGAACTTGGTGAGTGGTGCTGACCTCCAGGACCAGTGGGTTGACCAGTTCACTCCTGGAGGTCAGCGCGTGACCCACTGTACGTGCTCCCGGACGGGGAGGCACCTGGCCACGTTTACCCGTGCACCTGGCTCGAGTTTGTACACACTGACTACTGTGTCCCCTCAGGTCGCTGCGTCTGCGTCAGGTCAGCTAGCGGCCCCCTGCTCGTGTCGCGCTTTGTCGCACCAGACCCTCCTTTGGCACCACCGCCTTGGTCACCCCTCGGTGCAGCGCCTTCGTAGCATGCACCGCCGTGTCCTTGTTTCTGGTCTTCCCAGGGTTCTCCCTCCCCTCCCACCCTCGCCTGCTCCTCCCTGTCTTCCCTGTGTCGAGGGGCGGCAGCGCGCCGCTCCTCACTCCTCCTCATTCCCTCCCACAGAGGCTCCCCTGCAGACTCTCCACCTGGACGTGTGGGGCCCAGCCCGCGTCCGTGGACAGGGCCACGAGCGGTACTTCCTGCTGGTCGTCGACGACTACACGCGTTACACCACGGTCTTCCCCTTGCGCACCAAGGGTGAGGTCCCTGATGTTTTGATCCCTTGGATCCGCGCTGCTCGTCTCCAGCTCCGCGAGCGGTTCGGGATGGATTTTCCCGTCCTGCGTCTGCACTCTGACAGAGGTGGGGAGTTTTCCACCGACCTCTTGGTAGCCTTCTGTGCGGAGCACGGCATCCGCCAAACGTTCACGCTTCCGGCCTCTCCGCAGCAGAATGGGGTTGTTGAGCGTCGCATTGGCTTAGTCATGGAGGTTGCTCGTACCTCCATGATCCATGCGGCTGCCCCCCATTTTCTGTGGCCGTTTGCGGTCCGGTACGCCGCGCATCAG